CCCCAAAACCCCAAAACCCCAAAACCCCAAAACCCCTAGCGCAGCTTGAGGAATTGAAAAACCAATTTAAATATTTTTTTAGAATAAATAATAAAATGGAAGAGGCAAAAAGCAGCAGTATCCATAGTGAGATAGATTCTCACTCTCTTAGTGATGAGAGGATCACTGAGATCCTTAATGAGATCGACCTTGAGATGTCAAATCAAAGTCAAGATAACCTGAAAGACAAGTCTATGGTAGATAACTCAAGTGAAAGTAAGTGCTGAATTTCCCAGAATTTTTAAAAATTCCTTGTAGTCAGTCTTGTTATCACTAAAATAAATTTACCTGAATCGAATACAATTCCGATGAATAAGGTCGAAGTAATTACTCCAAAGAAGAATGTCTTCATCAGTGATTCAGTATTAAAGTCTGGGCAAGGTAAATACATTTGCAGGATTTTTAGGAGATAAAAGCAAAAATACCTCCAAAACTTTTTCAGATGGGAAAAATTTTGACAATCAAAATAAAACTACCGAAAATTTTCAAAAAGAAAATTTTATTGAAAATACAGTAGAAACCAAGGTATCTCCAGCTATGAAAACTCAAGAAATTTCCTCAGACAAGGAAATTGAGAGACAACTTGAGCAATGCATTTGCATTGACGTAAGTCGCTCAGAGTCCTCTCTTAGTATCCCCCAGAAGGGAGATGACATGATGGGAAGTATCTCAAACTCAAGTTCTGACTGAAAAAGTGACCTCTCCTCTCTCCACACAAATAGTATCGAATCAGTTGAGATTATTGGAGAAGAAGGTAAATCAATTGTGTAAAAATTAGCCGAAAAAGCTAGTCAGAAGCTCATCAATAACCTTGATTTCCTCTCTGATATTGAGATTGAGGACATCAGCAAGGACCCCGTCTTCTACTGGAAGAAGAGTTATGAAGACCTCGCTGTTGATATGGCCAAGCTGAGGGAAGAGAATCAAAAACTTAAGCAGAAGAACATGATTCTTCAAAACAAGATCCTTAAGCTTAACGATTCTCAAGAGAAATTCAAAAAGTAGGAATTTTGTTAAATCTGTTATAACAATTATTCAGAAATATTATGGATTCTGCCCAGAGAAAGAGAGATATGAAGTTACTCTCCAAGACAGTAGAAACTGACGAGAGGAAAGGCATGGTCCAGACCACTCTTGTTCCAACATCTGCTAACAGTAATTCTATCTTGGGTTCTAATTGTAGATGAGACCAGGATTCAGTTTGGCAAACAGCAAGCTAATGTGTCTTTTGATTTTACATCAAGTAGCAGAAGTCTCACAAGGCAGATCAATAGCAGTGATCCTAGCACGATAAAATACCTTCACAAATTTGAGATAAAGAACCTTGCTTCAATCCCAAAGGAGTTTAAAAGGAAGTTTATAAACTTTTGTAAAAGATTGGTTCCTCACTCAGTGGCTTTATTCTCAATCTATGATACTAAAAATGTTGATCTAAGTCAGTACATAAACTGCTTTGAGCATATCCTCAGGGGGACTACTCACCAAGTGTACTTTGCGAAGGGCAAATTTGATCACAATACGCTACAAAAAGTCATAGAATTCAGTTGCAACTCAAGAGTAAATTTATGTCATAATTCCTAGGAACTTTGCTTAAAAACTTGCCAAATCATGGATATCCACCCAACTTTCACTCTGAATCAAGAAATTGAGTATAAGACTGAAAAGATATACCTCTACTCAACCTGACGAAAGCTCTTCCAGGACAGAGACCCTAGTAATACTATCCATGAAGAAGAAAAGAAATCAGATCAAAAGTGCAAGAATAAGAAGAACAAAAGTTTTGATGCAAACAAGATGGATCAATTCAAATTGAAGACAGTCTTCAAAGCTATGGCCAAGACCGGACTCCTGCGGAGCCTCAGGAATGTCGAAGTTAACAAAGAAAGTTTCCCACTAATCGAGATAGAGGAGATCATTAGTCAAGAAGGATTCCATGACGTCTTTGTCATCCATAAAAAGCATAAATATCCTATTGAAAGCGTCAGATAGCTCGTTTAATTTAAAGGTCAATTAAAGCTTCTTCTATGGGGTTTTGGGGTTTTGGGGTTTTGGGGTTTTGGGGTTTTGGGAGGCATTTCTTCGGGAGAGAAATGAGCGTTGAATTATAGAATATGGGCAGTTCTAATAATTAGGCAAGGGCATATTAAGTTTGACTGTGCTTTGGGTTATAAAAGGTGGGTAGAAATGTATAAGAATGAAGTATCTGAGACAGAATTAGAAGATTCCACGGATAAAGAGACGGAATTTACGAAAGTAAATGAAACCAGAGATTTTACAATACCTCAGAAGGATACTAAGATTAGAAGGAGCCGCACTGTTTTTCGTCAGGATAGCAAAGAAAATTTTGCATTTGATTCAAATCCTCATTTGAAATCTTTGCTTTTAGAATATTCCGATGGTTGGAGCCCAAATTGCAAAAATAGAGCAATGAGCAATATTACATATTTTTCTAATAATAATGACTTGACTTCAGACGAATCCGTACAATCTACTTGTTCAGGAATTTATAGTCAAATAGGACACGAGGAAAATTGGCAAAACTCAAGTGAAGCTATCACCAGAACTTCCAATAGTAGCAAAGCGAAGGGGAGCAACCATCTTGAGAACTCTATTAGCCAGACTGAAGATCTCAACCAATTCTATCACCATTTGATAAATACTGAATCTGTTAATCTCCCGAGGTATGGTTATATGAAGTTTCAGCCTGAGATAAATAACCAAATGAGAAAGAATCTAGTGGACTGGATGATCGAGCTACACCTCAACCTTGAACTAGCTCCTGAAACCCTCTACTTAGCGGTAAATCTTATTGATAGATATTTAGAGAAAGTAAAGATCAAGAAAGACAAAGTCGAACTTGTCTGAATCACTGCCATGCATATCGCCTGAAAGTATGAGGAAGTAGAGGATCCTCCCATCCAAGACTATGTGGACATTACAGAAGGTTGTTATTCAAGGGAGGAGATCATTAATATGGAGCGTATTATGCTTATCATACTTGGCTTTAACATCACAGTGATCTCTCCATACAACTTTATTCAGATATTCGCAAAGCTAAGCGGAGAGAGTGAAGAAATGTTCTATCTATGCCAATATATGCTTGAGCTTGCTCTACTTAAGTACAAGATGATATTATACAAACCATCGGTCCTTGCTTCTGGAGCTTTGTATCTTTCTCATATAATTTTAATGAAAACAGAAGATTGGCCTCTCAAAGTACAACAATACACCTGTCTTGAAGACGAAGAAGTTATCTCATGAGCAAAAGATATGTATATTTCAATACAGAAGGCTGGCTCATCATCTTTCCAAGCTGTTGTAGAAAAGTTTTCCTTGCCAGAGTTTGGTGAGGTGGCTAAGATACAAATTGATACTAACTTAGGAGCTCTGCTTCAAAACTTCGAATCTAACTTGAATGTAAGTTTTTAATTACTAGTTTAATTAAAATAATAATTTAGATTGCTTCAATATCTGACAATATTGAAGGGGTTTTGGGGTTTTGGGGTTTTGGGGG